GAACATAAAATACATTAATGATGTATTAATGATTACAGATTTTAGCTTTCATATTGCATATATTAATATTGTGTTTAGAGTCTGTATTTTAATGGTTGAGGAGGCCTTGACCAAGCTTGCTTGTTTTGGTTTATTACATGTAAACAAAGTGCTTTTTTTGCTGCTTACATAGATTTATACATCTGAATAACTGGATGTGCCATATGAGAATTGGGGATAGAGATATGCATATATTAAACAGCAGAATGACTATGTTGCCACATGACTTAACAGAGGGCAGTCTGGGTCAAGTCATATAATAAAAGATTCATAATCTAACGATTTATGGTCATACTCTTACAAAAAGAACATTTGCCATAGTCAAATTACCGCGGCGCTGAATACTGAAAAATGGCCTGGATGGGAAGGGGGGTTTAACACCGCGGGTGTTAACTGGTTAAGGTGACACTCAACTCAGGAGTTCAATCTTAAAAATACATTCAAGTACTTTAATTATTAACAAAAATGTATCTTATTTGTGTATCACTCAGCTGTAGATCCTCAAATCATTTCTGAATTCATGCTGACACTGTCCTTCCTTCTGGAGGGTGGCTACTTTTGTTCCCCATGGTCCCTGTGTGTGTTGTAAGTAGTCATTGCTCCAAGCTCACTCCCATGATAGACTACAATCTCAATATGAATGAGTAAACTAAACATGAGATTGTAGTCCATCATGGGGCCGAGCTTGGAGCGGTGTCTACTTTACAACACACACAGGGACCATGGGGGACAAAAGTAGCCACCCTCCAGAAGGAAGGACAGTGTCAGCACCAATTCAGAGATGATTGGAGGATGTACAGCTGAGCCATACACAAATAAGATACATTTTTGTTAATAGTTAAGGTAGTTGAATGCAGTTTTAAGATTTAACACCTGAGTTTAGTGTCACTTTAAAAAGCAGGCATTTACTAATGATCCTGGAGCACAATGTCTTTCTGTGAACTCTTTGTGGGTGCTTTGGCTCTCTTTATAAGCAGCATAAAGCAAAATGACAGGTAGTTTTAAAGATATATATTCAAATGAGAAATACCAGAGGTTGCCAACCTTAATCTGCAATCATTTCCTGTCGCTGCTGCAGTCTATTAAACAACACAGCCTTTCTGAAAAGTAACTATACTTTGAGCTTTCATAGATCATCATTCAGTGGATTAAGTCCAGCACCATTACAATCTAAATTTTGCCCATGTTGTTTACACAGTATGTTGCATAACTATCTGTGACACCAACCAGATATTAACCAGCCAGTATTTAAAATGTGTTCGTATAATCATAGCATTGTATGATCGTTCATTGTTGTGCAACTTTACTTTTCAAAAATTCAAATTCTAATGCTTACAATTTCAAGAGAAGCAAAGCAGGGATCCCACACTGGCATGCAATCTGGCTCAGTAGTATGATTCCCTAGAGGTCAGGTTTGGCCTTGCACAGGGGAACAAACCTGCTGAGCCCTTCTAATAAGATTGCCAAAGGAGGCAGTCAGACGAGTAGCTAGAATGGGTGGTAACTGTGTTGGGTTTTAGGATCATGCAAATAGATGCCTTCACAGAATCTGGGCCAATGGAGGCAGCCTTTCTGAAACTATTGATGGCTTCCAGAAAAAAAGGAGATAAAGGGCAGAACGCTTTTTATGATAGGATGACGTAAAACGATCCTGTACTGTTTTTTTCTTTTTTTTTGTTTTGAGAAACTTCATAGCCTGCTGGATCTCCAAGAGTGTAATAGTAGATTTGAGTGCTTCCTTTTGTGACGCACACAAGGTGGGGATATATAAATGACAATCTGAAAGCAGATCATCTTTGAGGCAACACTACATCATTGGTTCAGCTATGTGGAAGACCCATGGGTTAAGATAAGAACATCTCAAGTGCAAGCTTCTAATGAACACACAAACTCAGTGGATAAAAACATCAACTTTACATGGGAAGATGCACAGAATAAGAAATTACCCTTTTGTGTGTTGCATGTCAAGGGTGGAGGTGACTTGGACATTACAAGCTACAGGAAATCCACCCACACAGACCAGTATGTGCCCTTTGACTACCACCACCCACTGCTAAACTATGTGTTATAAGAACTCTGCAACACTGGGCCTAGAGACTAAAGACAAAGAACATAGACATCTCAGGAGTGCTTTGAAAGTTTATGGCTACCCATACAGGACTTTCAGAAAAACATGCACAGGGACATGTAAAAACATGGGACCATCGAACAGGGGTGTGAAGGAGAACAGTGAAATATATTTATCCAGGGTGTGACCAGAGTATCAGAAAAATCCTTAAAGATTTTTTTACAAACATCCCTTCCCTGTGTTCTTCAAGCTCAGCAATACACTGGACTAGAAGCTTGTACATCAAAAAGGATCAACACCTATACAAAAGTCAAAATACCAAGTGTAACTTCTCATATATATAAAATATAAATATATATACACCAATCAGCCATAACATTATAACCACAATCCTAATATTAAGTAGGTCTCCCTTTGCCACCAGCACAGCCCTAAACCGCCAAGGAATGGGCTCCACTAGACTTTTGAAGTTATTCTATGGTATCTGGCCAAGCCTTCAATAGCAGATCCTTTAAGTCCTGTAAGGTGCAAGGTGGGGCCTCCATGGATCGTACTTGTTTTTCCAGCACATCCCACAGGAGCTTGATTCGAATGAGATCTGGAGAATTTGGAGGCCAAGTCAACACCTTGAACTAGTTGTGTTCCTAAAACCGTTCATGAACCTTTTTTGCAGTGTGGCAAGGCACATTATCCTGCTGAAAGAGGCCACAGCCATCAGGAAGTACTGTTTGCACGAAGGGATGTACTTGGTCAGCAACCATGTTTAGGTAGATGGTACTTTTCAAAGTAACACCCACATGAATGGCAAGGTTTCCCAGCAGAACATTGCCCGAAGCATCACACTGACTTCGTCTCACTTCACCTGTCAGTGGTCATAATGTTATGGCTGATCAGTGTATGTTAGAGATCCAGACTCTCAATGGTTAGAGCAGGTTCTCACATTTGCTGTGCATGGCAGCATAATGCTGCCAATCTTCCCATCCTTATAACAATAACTGAATGCAAGCCACTGCTGTGACTTTTCTCCCCATCTTGTCTAACATTAAACTCACCACCTGCTCAGTGAAAAGATCATTCTTTTTTCTCATGGAGAGCAGAAAAATACGATGATCAGTCATGGAGATTTTAAAACATGCAACCAATGTTCTGCTTAGGGCTGGTTGCTCTGTGTCTCATACACATCTGAATATTGGGGTTGAGGCTCAAAAAGGATGCATCCACAGTAAAATTAGGTACTTTATAGAAGTCTAAGGGGCTGCAATGTGCAGGTGTGGCCAGGAGAGTGAGACTTGCGGTGCTAGATGTAAACAAATAACAGAGGCCATCGTATCAAGGTAAATGTGCATCTGTGGAGGGGGAGGGTGGGTTGGATTATGTTAGGGCAAGGGGCAAAAAAGATAAATGCACTTATCCTTTAAATGCAAATATATACTTTTCTTGCACAAATAATGCTTGGTATTGTCATCCCAACCACTGAGTCTACATGTTAGCCCTTTTGATGATGGGCAGCATAACTGGCCAATGGCAAGGCTCAAGGGGTGGGAGGGCTGGGACCAACCTTGACTTCTACTAGATAAATCACAATTTGAACAGCTGTCTGTATCGCCAGATCTATTGATTATCTTTACATGTGTTTTTCACTTACAATAACCTCTATACATGCATTTTGCTTTCACATGGTCAGTCTGAGTCTACCAAGGTTTTAGGTTACGGTAAGTTTCTACTTATGTCTATATTATTTGCTATTATTCTACATATCATCCATCAGCTTACAGTACAACCCATTTGGTCCCAGAAGTACATGTACCTTACAGAAAACCATATGGGTATATTTCATAGATTAGACTGGATTTTACTAATCAATACATTTTTCCATGGTGACAGGTCTTAAATATGGGGTAAGACAGAGGACAAACCTGATTGTGACCCCACAACCTCATAGGGAGCACTCTATTCAATTTTAGGCTTCCAATCCAATGTAGCTCTGTTGATCCATGCATTTCATACTGTCAATCATTACAGATAAACTGACCTTATGTGATAATGTGAACAGATTTGATGGATCAGACTGGATTTTCCAAGGTAGTACCCATCCCAATTGTAACAGGTTTTAAACATGTGGGAAAACAGAGGGCATCTGTGCAAACCTGACTGTGACCCCTCCACCTTATAAAGAACGCCCTATTACATTCCAGCCCACCAATGCAATGTAAGATTAGTAATAAGACAACATAAGCTCTTAAGCAGGATTAGTAGCCACAGTGCTGGGAAAAGCCATATAAACCTACATGGTAGTTAGATATGTATTATAATCAGTGACCGATATACATGTATCTTTCTTTCTTTAAAATTAATTAACTTGATTAATAGGCTTTGGCCTAAACCAAGAAGCAAACACTGCATTCTACAGCGGTGATAAGCCATAATAAGAAGTATAAAATATTTTGGAAAGTTTAATTATTCTTGACATTGACAGTTACAAAATACAGTTTCTGTATATATGTTTCATGGTGCTCAACTTGTAATCCCATTTTAAAGCATACCTTCATCTTTCTGGTAAATCTGATATTAAGGGAAGACAGTACAACAGTATGTAAACTGAATATCTATTTCATTATGTCTGTAAGGCTTTTGAAGAATGTATTTTCTCCTGTGAGAAGTGTTTGCAGGTGCCAAATATTACTATCTTTACTGGTAAGTGAATGGTTTACCCAACCTCCCCACAGTAAAAAGATTTCACTGGATCCAAATGATACTTCTAGAGCTGTTACAAACATAAGGAAGCAAGGTGTACATCTACCAGTAAAGAAAACAGAATGTACAGTCATTCAGATTTCTGCTCACGTTATTAAATGAGACCCTGATAAGTTAAAGTTCATTGTCTGCTACATACCTCGCAGCACAGTTTTCAGGTTCACTTTGGCTTGCCTGTGCAGATCTTCTACACATGGTGGTCTCGATGAGGGAAGGAAGACATTTTCTTGTTGGTGCCAAGATGCCCTGTAATGGACTGTCCACTTACTTTCTTCATCTAGATTGGAAACCGCTGCAAAGGTAAAAAGAATGATCTTATTAGTTATCATTCAAACATGAAAAACACTTCATCAAGGTAGAAATGTTTTTGATAAACGTTAACAATAGGCAGATGTCTCCCAGAGAAGGATAGGTTAATCTGGTGGACTAAAGTGTTACATGAACGGCGAACACCTTTTAAGTAAAGAAAAGAATTGGCCCGATTCCATAAAAACTTTCCTATAAGTGTGTGCAATAACCTATGCTTTTGGTGTTAGAAAAGTCTGCCATCACTCTGTAGGTGTTGCACTGAATGGCTCGATTATTATTCAAGCATCACATCAATCCACTGAACTAAGGGGAGACTTGGCCATTTATGGGATGTTTACAAACCAAAATAATGATTTGTGGTTGTGTGTATATAAGTCTTATTAGTTATAGCTTTAAGATGCCTAAAGATGTTTTCACATCCCCATTCAGCATTCAGCTTGAGGAAACTGATAAATAAGCAAACATCTGGTACCCATTGCTTGAAGCATATGGCACAACTGTCCACTGAGCTGTGGCAAAGATTTGGCCTTCAGCATATGGGTAATTTTTAAAAGAATGGATCAGGTAAGCATTTCTGTTCATTTCTTCAAGGTTACCACTTCATGATAAATGTATCAATGAAATAAATACCACATAGCAGCATACCGTAATAAATATAAAAAATGTTCCATTAAGATTGGGTCACTGCATAACTGCATACAGGTAACAACATATTCAGACATATCTTCTTTTTTTTTTTTTGGCAGTGCTAATGATGAACATGTTAGGTGTAGTAGTGCTTAGCAATCAGATTTCAATTCAATGGAACCTGATGAGTGAAAGTGTAATTCTGATTGGATGCAGTGGACAAATTCCCAGTGCATTTTGACCTTTGTCTTATTATCAAGTGTATCCCTAGGCAAAACCTTTTTTTTTTTATAAAGTGGGAAAGAAGGAGGAGACCCGGAGTCAAGTTTATATTGCTGTCTGTGCTGCCATTGGGAAAATTCACCCTACTATTTCTCCTGGTGACCAGCGTTACCGAGAAAGAAAGTGAAATATGAACTGTTAGAGCTGTCTCCAGAGCAAGAGTTAAAGGGAAATCTTCCACTGGGAACACTTGTTTCAGACAACTGTCTAAGGAGGGCAATTTCCCTCACTTTGGGAGATGTCTTCTAACTTGCTGTTGCTTCTCTGAAACAGGAAGTGAAGGGAAATTTCCCCAATTTTTTCCAGATTTGCCGTACTTGTTCAAAAACATTAAATGGGCCCAGTTGTTGCTCGATAGATGAAGTAAGAATCTCCTTTGCACACTGCGCCCATTTGTTGCTTCAATACCAATACTATATAAAAAAAATTAAAGAATAAAAGTACCCCAAATGCTGATGAACTGGTTAACTAGAAAGAAACTGGATAATTAATGCAATTACACACTAAAACCAAGATTAGAAGGATTAAGGGATGGAAGTGTGCCAGCATCCATTGCCTCTATTTCTAAAACCAATCTTCTGTCACAAAAACAACTTTGTTTGAACTTCATTCAGTACATAGCACACTCTTGTCAATAGAACTTTAGCCTTCTATCTAGAGTACTGTTCTGGTATAAAATGTATTAGGTGCAGTTTCCTTGCCAACAAAGTAAAAAGCACATTATGCTAATATACAAAGAACAAAGAAAGATTTTAAACTGAGCTGTCATGTACTGAAGGCTTAACATGCTTCAGTAAAGTGTTCATACCAAATTATTTTCCAAGACCAACATTACCATCTGCTACAACATTCTCTCCAATAAGGAAACTTTGATATGAAATGAGGAAGCATGCACCGCAATGAAGGAAGGCTAGTTTCATTTTCTCATAAAATTGTCACCTCCTCTGGTGCCTAGGTAACAACACTAATATCCTTTCCACAGGCCATGCCTGAGATCTACTGCCATGGATATACACAGCATGAAATGGAGCCACACCATCCCCTGGGACACGTGTCAGGTGCAGACAGCAAGTGGCAATACGTGCTAACGTGTAGCCATATGGATACAAAGATGGAGGTTATCATATTGCATTAAGCAGAAGGCATCAGCGTTTGGCTAAATTGAACCGGCTGGGAAATAATAAAAGCTGTAACAGTGTACAAATGAGTTTGTTCATAAGGAGACATGCACCAAACAAAGGATACCCATTCTTTTAGCCACAAGCTCCTCCATATTTTATAACACGGCTGAAAAGTTTTGCAACTCCTAAATGGCTGGTTGTAAAATGGATACAGTTTATTTATTTTAAAGAAAAAAAGTTCTTCAAAGAGAAGAAGCTTTAATGGTTTATCATTACAACAACTCAAGGTTAATCATTAGAATACAGAAGCAAATTATCAATTAGCCAACAACAATAGAGGGATAAGCACTGACAAAATTCAGGCTACTAAAGCCACAGGAGGGCTTTGAATGTCTTCTGGACATTCACTACTTCTTTTATCCATGTTTATTATTCCTTTGACTTAAGAGACCCGTAGTTAAGTATTGGTAGTAGGAAAGACCAACTACTAAACAAATGTTTTTATAAACCTGTCATTGACACTTGAATGGCCAGTGGTGTGTATATCGCCAGCGCTGTCATTACCTTAAGAGAAAAATAACGATGGTGGAACAAATCTGTGCAATGGATTTCGTAGCTCTGCCATAACTCTGAGGGTTATTCACAGTACCAATATGCATGTAATTCCCTGATTTTGACAGACTCATATAGGCACCCTAGCTTTGAACGTTGCTTGGTAATCTGAGTAAAATTTGAATAGAACAATTAAATGTCCCAAATGAAATACAGTAGGTAAGCTGAAATACATTTGTAAGTAGTAATTATCACTTATGTACTCCTTGTAGGTAGGTAGAATCATAATGTATTCATCCAAAGGGATATATTCATATTGTTTTGCTTATCATTGGTGGAATGTTACACAGATCAGTGTCAGTAAAATGCCCCTATGTCTACAGCCCGAAACATTTAGAGAGTTCATTCCACAGAAACAGCTGCATTCTTGCCTGCAACCACTACAGAAGAAACCTAAATCATGCACTACTAATCACGGCAGAAACACAATGGGTACCTCGAGAGCCTATGAAGCATGTGTTGGTGTAGGCACAATGAATCCAGTGCAATAGATGCTGCTTATCATCACAGAAATGCCATGCACATCACTATGGCAACCATTACCATTACATTAATGATTTCTACTGCTAGATGCAATACTACAGTATATAATGTAGGATTATAATTTCTGAATAAAATGTGTCAGTGAATATATTTTTATAATTTTAGACCAATTATTGTTACATTAGTGATAAGAATGACCAGTCTCTAGCAAGTGCATGCTCTCTTCTCTGAAAAGCCTTAAGTAGCATGCTGCTCCCACTCTATTGTTCAATAACTTGTGCTTAGGCTGGCTCTCAAAACAGAGCTGGTGTAAACTGCAATACAAATCCTAATTTAACAAAGCTTTTCCTAGCTACATTGAGAGGATCGGGGGAAAGCCTGCAAATTAATTACAGCTATTGGTTATCTGCACTGCAGAAACCACGCAATCCTGTATACCTAGACACTGAAACAAACACCCATTATTGTGAACGCACAATATAAAACCACTACTTAATGCCTAATATTAATTCAATAAAGGTCATAAATATTATATACAGAATAAACAATAGTACAAGACATTGATCTTGATATTTACCTAGGTAACTGTCAACATTCTGTTCTTCCAGAGCTCGGTATAAAAGAAACTATTGTTCTATCCTATAATTGTAGCAATGCATATACCAACAGCATATAATACATCTATAACAGCAAGCACAAAGAACTCTGAAATCCAGAAAAGGTGGTTTTCTTATGAACCCTTCACATTTCCAAAGAACAGCTATTACATTGTAAGATTTAACAACTGAACATTTGCTTTAAAGAGTTTAACAAAGACATGTGCATCCTGGGAAAAAGACTGTATGCCAAGAAAGCGCAAGGTGGAGGAGTGCTTGTACGCAAACACATGACAGCGACTTCTGCAGATCTGCATTGCCAAGCAGTAATTCAGCACAAAGTATCATAACAGCATCAGGCTCTGGCATGCTTGACAATATCACATTTTAAGAATCACATGCAAAACACATCATTTTCCTAGCTACTTACTCTTCTTCTTGAACAGGCTAATGAGTGATTTCAGCTTTGTGTTGATAAACACCACCATTTCCAATGAGTTACAGCTTCAAAGTTACAAAGCCATAGAAAAGGTGCAGGTTTGCCAAGGTCTGGTGTCCACAAGCTTCTTCTGATGAGCCTTCCTGGCAACTTTTTGTTGCTGTTACAGCATTACAGTATAAAGATTCCTGCTAAGCCGTGACCCTGAAATCCCTTTTCCATAGTTTAATCTCCAAGCCAGAAGAGCAGATGTAGGGAAAAGATGCCTGGATGTGAAGATGTGACCCATGTACCAGCTCACTTCAGACTTTCTGCCTCATTGCATCTTCACTGGACTTCTTTTTCTGTCTTGCAGAAGATTGTCATTTCTCTTCCTCTTCCCCCCACCTCCCTACCATCCCCAGATCTGCCTGTTTGCTCTATTCTCTGTTGAAGTTCCTAAGCTACAGTGCAGGGCTCAGCACTCTGAAAGGGGCAGTATTGGCTTTCAGCTATTGTTATTCAAACACCCCCACCTCCCTGAAACCCTGCCACTGAAACCAATGAGAAGCACTTTGCTGAGAGGGGCTGTAAAAAGATGATTATTTTCTGTGTGTTTATTTCCACACTTACCTGGGCACAAAGGTATTGTTTGTATTGCTTTGGGTTTTTTTTTGCTGTTGACACTTTAGAGTTGTTGCACAATGGCCATGAAAGTTGAGCTAAATAAACCTCGTTTTAATACAATGCACTTTTAATTCATAATCCTTACTTTCAGACTTGAGAAAAAATGTAAGTGCCCCACCCTATTTATTAAGTAAGAGACGGCAAATTTTATGTAGAT